GCGAAAAAATCAAAAAATAAATATTTCAATCAATGCAAAGGAATCATTAATAAATAAAGACAGGCAAATCGAGCGGCGGCGGCGCCGACGACAAACAGCCAAATCAGCATAAACGCGCGCTAAATGAGGGCAGTTTCGCTGGTTGCAGCCGTTCTTGTACGAGCCACTGTCGCCCGTCGACGCAGCGAAAATACATACATACATACATACATATATACATACATACATACATACGTGCATGCAAACATATTGTAAAATTGTGTGCAAAAATGTGACAAAAACAGCAATTAACCGATGTAGTTACAATTTAATTTATGTGTGAATGAAAATTGAAATGTCCAACGTCAAGTTTATGTTGTTGTTCTTTTTATTGTTGGTGCTTTTGGCGTTAAAAAAAAAAAAAAGTTAGTACTCTTGTACTGTATGTATGTATGTTTTTCTGTCAACTGTCAGTTGTTTTTAGTTTCGGTGTTGTTGTTGTTGCTGCTGTTAACACCGAACGCCGAAAACAAGTTAAAACATTTAAACAAACTATTTTTTCTTTTGTTGTAATTGTATTAAGTAAAGTGAGAGAGAAGGCACTGCCAGAGCTGCAACTGGGAGGAAGTGAAGATTTTGCCACTGAATTATGCTCCGCAACGCTGTGCTACTTGCTAAGTGTTGCATTAATAAAATTAAAAAGTTATCCAGCGCAGGCACAAATACACACACGCGAACATTCATGCATAAGTACTTAGGCAAATAACAACCCGCACCTAGAAAAAAATTTGTTTAAGAAATAATTTATAACAAAAAAGTGCCAAAGCTCAGTTTGGTTTCTCAGTTTTATTTTTATTTTTAGTTGTATTTGTGTGCGTTTCACTTGCATATTTTAACAATGTGTTGTTTTCGTTGTTGTCATGTTGTTGCGCTTGTTTTTATGTATGTATAAATTTTTGTTTTCTTGTAGACTTTGTTTTTCGCGCTGCGTTGTTGCCAGTCAAATTACACACATTTGACCTTAATCGTTGCTCGCTGCTACTTTGTAGACACTAAACATTTTTATTAGCAGCTTTTTTATTTCACTTTTTAATGGAGGGGCGGCTTTGCTTGAGCAAAAACAAAAAATGGAAACTAAGCTACAAAAAAAAAAAAAAACACAGCGCCTAAAACGCACTTTGACACCAAAAATGGTGAAATTAAAGTCGGACAACTTTTTTATTGTTCTCTTATCTGGACATGTGTGCGTTTTTGAAGCTTCTATTTGAGAGCTCTATAGCAAAAATATACTTGGGCGTACGTGTCTAATAATTTTACAGTGGCAGTCATAAAGAAAGTACAGCTTTGAAATCATAGCTTACTTTGTTAAAAATGTCTTGAGTTATTCTGTACTCCTATGAAAAAGGTTTACATTTGTGATATGAGCCATGCTATCAAGAAAATTAATGTGGCACGTCTTTTGCCGGCTAAAAGAATCGAGTAATATCACTTAATTTATCGATGTTGGTTCCGCTAACTTCCCTAGAATTATAACCAGTTCCTTTGGTTCCGTCGAGCTTAGATCCGACTGCCAGTCGTAAAAGCACTAATTAAAACAACGCCGCCAAAGCCAAACCAGACTCAACCAAAGGCGAAGGAAGAGTTCTAAGCTGCGGCATCCTAACAAAGTCGATATCGAGTAACCCGGGTGCTTCAGATATGCCAGACATGTATTTATACCTTCGAAATGGCCAAATTTCGTGTCCTTACATTTATATTCAGAACGTTTAGCCTGACTTTATGTAATAGGAGTTTTCTCCAAACATATCCACGAAACCACGGTGCCGTATCACAATATAGCTACAACCCCTAATTGGTACATACACATATCCGGTGTACCATCCGTGGTTGTAAGCAAGCGTATAAGCATTTGGCACTCCTACTTTTTTCAGCAATCCGTTTCCAGATAAGATCCTGTCCTGTCAGCGAAGGGAGTTCAAATTGTGTGAAGTAGCAGGTTTTTGTTGAATTGGATTGAGTCTGCTTTCCTCTGAATCAATTTGCCTATTTTCACATAGAACTGGAATGAGTTAACGCAATTATCAGTCGCAGCCCTTGGACACAGTAGCAAATTATTCATTGTTACGTTCCATAGAAGTTAGGTGAGAAGGCATCATGCGGTTTGCCCCTTGACGCCTATCCTGAGGACAATACTCTACCCATCTCCACACATGTATTAATTCTTGCACAGCGTATATAATTCAAAAGCATGTGATCATTTTCTTTAATGTATAGAGTCAGAAGCAATCGGCACGAATCGGAATATATTTCAAAATAAAAGCCTATAGCGAAAGAGCATTTACATTGTAAAAAATAATAACAAGTTATATTCAGGCCCCTTAAAAAGCCCGGGCTTGGGGGGATCACCCCTATTCCCCCTCCCTCTCGACGAGCATGCATGCTAGGCACGACCGTCGTGCAGACACAGAATCCTTCAATCTGGATCAAAAGTCTGATCCAGTCACGGTACTGTAGGAAAATACTGAGATGATCTTTGCAAAGCCAAAGGTGTCATATCATATAATATTTTTTATTTTAATAGACACGCTTCAAGCTTGCTAAGGTATGTAGATATAAGCTACAATTTAGAACTGTATATTCCTAATTTATTGTGTTCATTAGACAACTAGTAAAACAAAAATATATATTAAATCACGAGTGGCTCGAATTCCTAAGCAAATTCTAGAATATTCAAAGTACATAATACGAAAAACGTATCGGCTCCCGCGCACACTTGTCACCGATTGGCAACCGAGTAAGACCGGCATCGCCAAAGACAGCCAAGTAAGCGCGCCTATTTTGGTGCAAAGTTCGAAAGAGCGGGAGAGAGAGAGGGAGAGGGAGGGTGGTGGGGGGAGAATGGAAGGAGACAATGTTGCATTGAAAATTACAAACTGTCGCAAGCAATCAATCTCGTGTGCGTTGTGTCTGAAATCGTCAAAATCATTACAACAAAATGTCAACGGCTTTCGAGTAGATATATGACGGCAGCGGCACTAACAACAACAAAAACTTATTTATGTACAAACAAAAGTTGTTCAGTATACATACCTACATATGTACAAATGTAAGTTTATAGTAAGTATCTACACTTTAGCAGCGGCGGCCGCCTGGCAGCTAGATACGTCGCTAGCAGTTGAATGACAAAACTGGCAATCTGTCCAAAACGTTGCCGCAGCAATTTTCAATGGCAAGTCACTTCAATGCATCGCCTTTTTTGATTTGCCTTTACTGATTTGTGCACTGCTGTGTTTTTCTAATTTTTCGCATTTCTGCTTGTGGCCTACCAACAAGCAGCTAGTATGACGCGCAGCAGCACCACCATAGTTTTAGGAAAATAAGTAGATAGGGATGACAGCTCCTTGTCACAATTCCATAGTTTTATGATTTTTCGATAGCTGCATTTAGCGCGACAATTTGTTGTGAGGCGAACCTGCCGCTGATTGAACTGGCGTATGAATCGGTTTTTACGAGCGCAGCAGCTGCTATTAACTCATTTACTCACTTTTTATAGCTTGCAAATATTTGCAATTAGTTGAAAATTAAGCAGTAAAAATTTTGATGCCACTAATCTGTGCATAGCATCAGCAATTTCACAAAGCAATGAATCGCTGAAGGCAAAAAACAAAAAAAAAAAACACACCGAGTTTGGTATGTCATAAGTTAGTTACATATAAGTAAAAATCGACATGCCACAGTTGCTGTACCGCGCGTTGCGCCGCGTCGGGCACTAGCATTTATGGCGCGCAGCAGCGAATGACAAACTGAGCGATTAGAATCGCCTATACGAATCTAAACTGCGCGTCGCGGCGGGCTGCGAACAACGAACAAAAAAGAAAAGCGCGCTGCTGTCTAACCGAGCGCGAGGTTGCGCGCTGAAAACTCATGTTGTTCTGCTGTATTTGGCGAGGG